ATATATATGAGCTTCTTAAAAAGAGAGAAATATAAAATATTAGACCAAAAAGTAGCCTACTTTATTTTGATTAAATTGATGTTTTTATAAATATAAAAGGGATAATTACATAAAAATTATATGAAACATTAATATTTATAAATTAATCATCAAAGTGATTCTTGAAGATTTTTGAACTATCAAACTAATATAACCTATTGAGAATTTGATAAAAATGAAAAATATGGATTGAGGTTTCATCATGTATTTTAATATTTTGAAAAATGGATGAAAAGTGAGATGTCTGGTTTTGTAAATAGGAAATTTTAGGTGGTGTGTACGTAATTTGCCCAATATAAAATCAATGAGCATTAATTTAACGCATAACTTTATAGTTAAATGTCAGATTTAGTAATTAGTAATATGTTTTTGTTCATGAATCATGCCCCGCCTTTTTGTTCACATCTCCCCAAGCTTTTCCTGTTTCATCCGCTTCATTCTTCCTCGTCTTCTTCTTCCTTCTCTCTCTCTTCTCATCAATGCCGACTGGAGTTCGCGCGAAATCCTAAAAAGATGCCGGGATCCGCTCCGGCGAGCCATCCGCCGGAAGAACCTCAGGTTAATGTTTCAGCGAAGACTTCTGCTCGCCGACCGGATTCGTATCTCCAGCCGTGCAGACCGCTCCAGCCCCGAAGGCGGGTTAGGAAGCACAGCTTTCGCCGTTCCGATAAGGGCCGGAGGACGGACGGATTTACTGCAAATGGAAGAAGAAGCGGTTACGGTACTCCTCTTTTGAGTTGGAAGTTTGAAGACGGGGATTGTTCTCGTAAGCCCTTGATCGAGGCCGGAGGTAGCGCGACCCGGAAGGTCGGTAGATCCTGCGGAAGGAGAAAGGAGGCTGTTACGGCGAGGAAACTCGCCGCGGGGATCTGGCATTTGCAACTCAGGGAGGTGACGTTGAGCGGAGGGAGCGGAAAGGAGTCTGCTGGTGCCTCGCTAGGTTTTGAGGTGAGACCAATTGAGACGTACCGCTTCAAATTTAGGGAGGGGGAGGGGGCGGTGGAGATTCGGTAAAAGATTGAAATTTGGTCATTTTTTCTCTTCAAATTTGGTCATTTAACTCAACCGCGTTAGGATTTGAATGTGAATTGCTTCTTGGCTAGGATTCTTGGTGGTGAAGGATGTATCAACCGAGTATCATTCTTCATTAATTAACATGCATTTTCTTTTGGAATGTTGAGATCTAAGGTTTCTCATAGACTTGAATCATGTTTTTTGTACAGCAACTGACCTATTCATCTTAAGATTACAGCATCTTTACTTTGATCCCAACTTGTTGGAGTTGGCTTTATGGATTATTTCTCATGGAGTTAATTATTCTTTTTTGCCTAAATTTCGTTAGATAATAATCATCATTAGCCTCATCCTAAATGTTTATGGTTCGCTTTATAATTTCTTCTTCTTTCGTCATTTGTTCTTGTTGAATGTTGTTTAACATGTGAACTTATTGTTTGCAAATCATGTTGAACATGTTCTATTCATGTTACCTCAGATCTTCTTAATCCATTGGTATAAATTTTATTTAATCATCTAATAAAAGCATTATCCATATTTTGTTCCCATCTAAATTTTCAATTTTTTTAATACTCAGTGGCTGTTACTTAAACTTTTAGAATTCATCTAACATAATTATGCATTGATTTATCCATTATAATTTTGTCACACGCACATCTTACTATTCTCATTTTTTTTGCTCTCTACATAAGCATCAACTATTGTTGTATCGTCTAACACTTAAATCCATTTAACATCCCCGGCTTAATTGTAATTTTATAAAATTTTTCTTTAGATGTCAGTTTGTGATGGCTACAACTGTTTGTTATATTAATTGTAGAATCATTGTGGGAAGATTAGAGTTTTTTAATGTTTTCGTTGTTGTTATAGACTTTTTTTTCCTTAAAAAAATAGATAATATTTCTTATAGCTACCACTTTCTAATATATTTGATTGTAAAAAAATTCTTGACACATCAATTTTTAAGAAGAAGGAAAAAGTTTTTATCAAATGGAAGTGTGATAGAATTCTAGAACTTAAAGCTATGAAAAAGCCATCATAAATGCATTGCAAGTCCCCTATAGTATCCTCTGATTGCAAAATAGTCCTTAGGCATTTCTTCATTATAGACGCCCAAGCTGAAGTCTAAAATTTATATCTGCTTTCTTTTATATAATAGATTCAATATGCTTAAATTCATCTCACTTAGGTTTCACTTTATATTTTAATAATATTTATTGATAAATTATTAATAGTATACCTACTAAAATTTTTTGTCTTGTATGTACATTCACAGTCTAAAGTAACACTTATATTATGGCCTATCACATCAAGCTGAGTATGGCAAATGAGAGTGGCATTCACTTATCAAATACACATGTTATTTTTATCTTTCATAACGAACTTTCCCTAAAAGAATGAAATCAATTGTATAAAACTACATTTCTATTTGCGTACATCGAAACATTATTAACTAATTTATCACGTATAAGAAAATTAGTTTTTTTTTTTTTCATTGGTCCGATTACAATATTTTTCATTCAAAAAAAGTCATACATGATAATTTTTTAAATTCAAAATAATGCAAAATTATGTTATTGATATCATATGGGGTTATAAATAACCCTTAAATGAATCCTAGAATAAGAAAGACAATAAAAAGGGAGATAATAAGAAAGGAAAGATATAACACCTAATATCTTCAATTAATTAATTCATAAAAATTATTTGGAGATAAAGTAAACAACTTAAAATAGAAAAGCCTAAAATAGGAAGGAAATAAATCCAATCCAAAGAAAAAATCTAAAATAGGAAAGAAAATAAAATTATATTAGGAAATAAATATAATCTTCATAACTTTTAATATAAATAAATTATTTACTAATATAACTTATAACACTCCATCTCAAGTTGAAACATAGTTGAAAGATACATTCAACTTAGATTTGAGATTCTTAAACAATGGGCGATGAAGATCCTGTGAAGTAGAACTTGAATTCTTCATCCCGTACTATAGTTGTGTTTGACTACAATTCCTGCAGTATCTGTAGGTAGATAAAAGGCTCCTACAGGTAATGTTGCAGGGGAGCTTGTAGGGAAGTAGGCAACTTGTAAGAAAAATTGACTTCTACGTGGCTACGGTTGTCTTTAACTGTAGTTCCTGCAGTGTCAGTAGGTAGGCAAAAGACGTTTTACGGGTAATGCTGCAAGGGAGTTTGCAGGGAAGTAGACAACCTGTAGAAAAAACTGAATTCTAGTTGATTGTGGTTGTCTTTGACTGCAGTTACTGTAGTGATTGTAGATAGGAAGAAAACTCCTAAAGGTAATGTTGCGGGGTATGGCTTGCAGAAAAAAGGAAAAGCTTTGGAGGTAGGTCTTGTTGCAGGAAAAGGCTCTGGAGGAGGGTTTGATACAGGAAAAGTTCTGGAGGATGGTCTGCTGCAGAAAAGATTCCGAATGAGGGTCTGCGGAAGGAAAAAGCTTGGGAAGTAGACTTGTTGTAGGAAAAAGTTTCGGAGGTAGGCTTGCGGCAGAAAAAGGCTCCAGAGGAGGGCCTGTTGTAGGAAAGTTTCACAGTAGCACTGCACCTGCTCTATGCATGGAGAGAAAGAGCAAAGAACACCATCATGTTTTAACATTTTTGCTGCAAAGAGAAATGCTGGAAGAGAAATGCTTGAAGGTCAGGGAACACCAAATTTGCAAAAAATTCATCATGGAAGCCTTCTCCTTGGATATCCCTAAGTAAGACATTAATAAAGATTCCCAGTCCATTGAAATCTTCCTTAGCCAACCCATGCCCTTTTCTTCCAATATAACCTCCAAAGGCTTTGCATCACCAAAGGGGTTCACCTTAGGCCGAGGCTTTGGAGCAACACCTTCCCCGACATCTGTGAAACTAGGTTCACAGCTCCACTTGAATGCACACTGGATGGTCTGCTAGAATGAGAGTTTGTTGGCCTCACAAATTTTTTCATCTCAATCTCTGTCTCAATTTTTCTCCAATCTTAACCCCTTTTAGACAAAACCTCTTTCTTCGGCCTAGCAGCACCAAACAAACTTGGTCTTAAAGGAGTTGGTTCAGGCATTGATACATAATCCTTTATCGATAGATCAAGGACGAGTCTCGGCCTTTGTCGTGCCCCATTGCTCGAAAGAGATCTCATGCTTCCTCTGACCATCGATTAGAATTTAGACCGAGCATGAGAGTATCTCTGAATCCAGATCTGAAGCCGGAGTACCTGTTATAAGGAGCAGTCAATTTCTTTCTAAAAGACCAATTATCGATTTCATCGCCTTTGAGAAGCCCTAGCTCCTAAGAGAGTCGTAGCGCTCTTGCCGAACAAAATCCACAATCAAAGTAAATTTATTGTACGAAGCCTAGTTATTGACCTCATCGGCCCTCCATGGCAGATCGAAATCAGAGGGCCTAAGACGACCCCTCCTCTATTCATCATCCTTATTGAAATCAGGTTGCCGACAAGGAGTGACTACACTTCTTCCATAACCATAGGAACATAAGCCGCCACCAAGTTGGGCGTTCTCAAGCTCTCCGACGAAGCGCTCATAAGGGCCTAGGGGAAGGCAAAGCATCTCGTCGGGAGTAAGGCCCTTCGACTCGAAAGCCGGTTCTTTACAAGCGCCACCGGGACCGACATATGTTTCGGTGGTGAAAACAGAAAGAGTAATTGTGGCACGCTTCTTCTTTTTGGGCTTCATGGGAACCTCCTTGAGATTAGGGAAGCTATGGGATGGCTCGCTGTCATGGAGAGTGGGATGGCCAGAAGAGAACACGGAGGTTGTTGTTGCTGCTTCTAGACACTCGCGCTCCTCCAGCTTAGTGCACTCCGCTTCAAGCGTCGACTCCAGCCCAGACCTTGGACATTCTCTGTTCTTCATCTCCCCACACGCCTATGTCGCCGAGGAAAAAAAATGGACCTACACAGGTCAGTCCACCAAACCCACGATGTATTCCTCCCGGATCACATTTTAATTATAAGGACATGAAATCAATTTTCTAAAGGAGAAAGTGTCATTCTCTTATTGCGGGGAGGATGGCAGGAATGGAGTCGTGCGATTCTAGAGGAAGAATTGGTAGCTAGGGTAGGGAATTTGGCTCTGATACCATGTTAAAATTCAGAATAATGTGAAATTTTGTTATTGATATCACAAGGGATTATAAATAACATTTGCATGAATCCTAGAATAGAAAAGATAAAAAGAGATAATATGAATGAAAAGTTATAACAGCTAATATCTCCAATTAATTAATTCATAATAATTATTTGGAGATAAATGAAACAATAAAATGAAACAATATAATAAAAATAGATGAGTCTGCAATTGGAAGGAAATATCATCTACGAAAATAAATCTAAAATAGAAAAGTAAATAAAATTACATTCAGGAATAAATCTAATCCTCATAACTTATAATAGAATAAATTTTCTAATATAATTTCTAACAATAATCATGTTTTTTTTATTTGCATCATCCAAACACGTATAGTAAATTGTGATTACAAAAGGAATCATGTGCATCAGAATATTGGCTATTAATCTTTAGATTCAACTTCTACTTCACAGACTCCTACCCTTTCATTAAACCAAGACACATGCAAGTATACATATTGTGAGTGATAAGTCTAGTAGGTCATTAGAAATCTACCAGATAATTCAATAACGCACAAAAACTAAATAATATGCATGCTAGTAGTTCATATCAGTGAAACATGTAAGGTTTAGATATTCAATGAATCATGTATTATGTATGAAATATGAATTAATATCAATGTGTATGAAGACTATTAGTTGCAAGCACGTGCATGTAACATAAAATGTTAGATAACATGGGTGAGTGATATATGATACATAATACATGAAAATCAAAAAGTGTTTTTCTTAGATGAGGATATTCAACATAAGTGAGAGATATATTTTGATAAAAATTTCAATGATATGAACTACTTCAGTAAATAATACCAATTTTTTTTTTTTTATCATCACATTAAGAAAATAGAAGTTGGGGCTTTAAAGAAAACAAAGTGTGAAAAAATAATAGAATCTGGTGGTATTCAAATAGAAATGTGGAAATGTTTAGGGAATCTGTGAATTTTTTTGTTTCCTAAATTTTTTAATATTATTTTAAAAATTAAAAAGATGTTTGATAAATAAAGAAAGAGTCTATTAGTTCATATTTTTAAGAATAAAAGGGGATGCACAAGAGTGTATAAATTATAGAGAAATTAAATAAAGTGTCGTATATTAAAGTTATGGGAGAGTAATTGAACATAGGTTATGAAATGATACAAAAATTTTTCAAAGTCAGTTTGGAATTATTTCAGGCAAGTCTACCACGAAAGTTATACATTTATTGAGAGGTCTGATGGAAAAGTATAGAAAGAATAGGAGAATCTACATATGATATTTGTTGATTTAGAAAAAAATTTCAAGAGTACTTTGGAGAGTACTAGAAAAGAAATGTGTTGAGATTGCTTATATTCAAGTCATTGAAAATATGTATTCTAGAATTGTTATTTGTGTTCAAACACAAGGAGGATTGCCCATTTATTTTCCTATTTCAGTTGGATTACATTCAATGTTCGGTTTTAAACCCAAATCGTTTTGCTTTAGTTATGGATGCTCGTACTAGACATTACAGGAGGATGTATCTTGGTGTATGTTTTCCGCTGATGATATCCTGCTTGTGGATAAGATTGGAGAGAGAGTTCAGGAAAAACTTAATTATGGCAGTCAACTTTAAAATCTAAAGGCTTTCGTTTGAGTAGAGCTAAGACTGAATACATGTAATGTAATTTTTTTATTGTTAGGTCTGGTGGTGGGGTTGTAAAAATGGGTGGTCAAAATCATTAAAATGAGCGATTGTTTTAGATATCTCGGGTGTATTGTTCAAAGTGACGGTGGTTCAGACGTGGATGTTATTAGTAGAATTCAAGTTGAATTTTTTACACGGAGGATTGCATCGAACCTTTTTTGTGATAGAAAAGTACTGCTTAGAGTTAAAAGGAAAAATTTATAAGATGGTAGTGAGGCCTGCAATGCTTTATGGCACAAAATGTTGGAGCATAAAACTAAGGTGTTATTGAGATGAGAATGCTCTGGTGGATGAGTGTTTTACACTAAAAGATAAAATGTGAAACTAATATATCCGCGAAAGGGTTGAGTAGCTCCAGTGACAAAAAATATTAGAGTCGTCTTATATGGTTTGGTCACATTAAACGTTGACCATCTAATGGCTTTGTTAGGAGAGTAGATGTTTTAGATTTGACTTATACTAAAAAAAATAGAGGTAGACCCAAATAGACACGGGCATGTTGTATAAAATATAATTTTAATTTATTATAATTAAATAAAATATGAGACTCAATAGGAACATTAGAGGAAAAAAGATTCATGTAGCCAACCCCACATAGTAGGATAAAGGCTTGTTGTTGGAGTTTTTGTTATACAAATTTTAAGTTACTATGTTCTAAACACTATTTTTATTGTTCTAAATTTTCACTTACTTTTATTCTCGTGAAGGTGCAGATAACTCCATTATTCTTGATGGAATTAACTAATCATATTTGCATGAGTGGAACCTTTGCTTGCTTGCTTTTTCAGTGATGATTATTCATTTGATTAGTGATTTATCAATTTTATGTTTTTTCGGCATGCTAGTGGAAATTTACAGCCTGCAGATGCCTGCAATGGCAACAATGCAAATTTCCATTTTGGTCTAAAGAAAGGGTTTTCAAGTTCTACTCCCCTTCATAAAGTAATCTGTAACTTATGTTCTTCATCACTGATATTTTCTTCCTTTTGTTTTCTCTATCTGTTTTTAGTTTTCTTATGAGTTGTTTATTGAATTTATGTCTTCAGCTTGCTTCTCCTGCGTTGCCTAATCATACAATGGAGAGGGCCACAAAGTGGGATGCCGGATGCCCAAGAACATGCGTGGAGGTTTTTGAAATCTTCAACCAGCTGAAGCTTCTTGAAGGTCAACAGGTCTCCACTGCTTCCATTATTTCTTCACTCCAGCAAGAGCTTGAAGGGGCTCAATCTCGAATCTCTGAACTCGAATCAGAGCGGCAATTAGTAAATAATAAGCTGGATCGTTTCTTGCGAAAACTTGCAGAAGAGAAGGCATCATGGCGAAGTAGAGAGCACGAGAAGATTCGGGCTATAATAGATTCCATGAAGAGTGATCTGAGCAGGGAGAGAAAAAACAGGCATCGGAGTGAAATTGTTAACTCCAAATTGGTAAATGAGCTTGCAGAGGCCAAGCTGTCTGTGAAGCGGCTCATGCAGGACTATGACAAGGAAAGGAAAGCAAGAGAGCTCACGGAGGAGGTTTGTGAGGAGCTAGCCAAGGAGATTGGAGAAGACAAAGCTGAGGCTGAAGCTTTGAAGAGGGACTCCATGAAGATACGAGAGGAAGTGGAGGAGGAGAGAAAGATGTTGCAAATGGCTGAGGTCTGGCGTGAGGAGAGGGTTCAAATGAAGCTATTAGATGCAAAACTAACCCTTGAGGATAAATATTTGAAATTGAGCAAGTTGCAAGGCGAACTAGAAGCATTTTTGAGGACACGGCCGGACGAATCACATGCTAGACAAGCAGAGCTCCTCAAAGAGGCGATAGATTTTGTCAAAGTTGAAGAAATGAAGGAGTTTACTTACCAACCTCCTCCTGCTTCTGAGGACATTTTTGCTGTTTTTGAAGAGCTTCAGCCAAAAGAAATAACTGATGAGAGGGACATTGAGCTTTGTTATGCATATAGCCCTGCAAGTCGGGACTGTAACATACACTCTGTAAGTCCTGCCACTGATATCTTTTTAGAGAAACCCACCAGAAGATACTCTAACGGAGATACAGATGAAGATAGTGATTGGGAAACTCTTAGTCCTGATGAAGAGCGGGAATTGACCAATTCTGCTTCAGGCAGTGAGCCCTCAGTGAATGCAAGGTGTGAAGGAAGCCATGGATCTCTGAGTGGAACGAACAGTGAAAGAAACAGAGAGAATTGTGAAGTACATGGTGAAATCAGTGAGGCTTATCCTCAAGCCACTAAACAACCAAAGAAGGGATCCTCCATAACTAGGCTGTGGAGGTCTTCATGTCCCACTAATGGCGAAATCCTCAAGAAAAACTCGGCCGAATTGATGAATGGAAGGCTTTCTGACGGAAGAATTTCAAATGTGGCTCTATCTTCTGACTGCAGAGTTGGTGAAGTTGGGCTCAGCCCGCCGAGGTTAGATCAATGGAGCTCGCCAGAATCTTCGAGTCCTCATGTAGCCCCCCGCTCGATGAAGGGATGCATGGACTGGCCACGAGTTCCACAGAAGCACAGCTTGAAAGAAAAGCTCTTGGAAGCAAGGATGGAGAACCACAAGACTCAGCTACGCCATGTTCTCAGACAGAAAATCTAGCACCATTCTGGTCTGAATTGAGAGAGGTATTTATACATGTAAGCATTGTCTTGCTGTGTACTTTGTATAATTCTTTATTTTTCGCTTTTTGCTACATTGAGCTTCTTATTTTCCAATGGCCTACCTTAATGCTTAATTAAAAAAAAAAAAGTATAAATCCATTTCTTTTATACTTATATTTATACTTGTAATCATTTTTTTTTCCTTAACCAAGTACTTATGATTTCCTCTTATTGAACTATATTATTGAGGTATTTCTCATTTTTCTATATATACATGTTATATGAAACCTTATCTAAAAGCTATACTTTTATTTAATTAGTCGCCTTTGACTTGAAGCTCATTTTTATAATGGATATTTCCTTCATAAAACTAAATTCTCCCTTCAAAATAGATAAAATATTTTTTTGTTTTACTACTCTTCCATAATCTCATTATTTAAATTTCTTTATAATTATTATATTTTTCTGAGACTGTGGAGAATCTCTCTCTCTCTCTCTCTACATTCATTTATGAAATTTGATTTTGAAAGGTGTATTTTTACCATTGATGTTGTAGCTACACCTGAACCCATATATATATATATATATATATATATATATCTTTACGTATTTACATATCTAACACCTATAAATTAATTTTTTACATATATACCACCACCAATATTTCATATCACATAAAAAAAACTACTATGACTGTTAAAAGTGAAATGCACTTTTTTTGCAAGGTGGTATATGTGTAAAAATTGAAGCTTAGGTGTTATTAGACATGTAAATAAATAGGAATTGAGTGGTATGTACGCAAATCTTCCTTTTTCTTTGAAAAAAATAGCCGTGAGTTGTGGCAAATTGACATTGGTGGGCGCTGGGTATATGTGTAAAAATTGAAGCTTAGGTGTTATTAGACATGTAAATAAATAGGAATTGAGTGGTATGTACGCAAATCTTCCTTTTTCTTTGATTGACATTGGTGGGCGCTGGAAGGTTTTTTTTTTTTTTAAAAAATAGCCGTGAGTTGTGGCAAATTGACATTGGTGGGCGCTGGGTATATGTGTAAAAATTGAAGCTTAGGTGTTATTAGACATGTAAATAAATAGGAATTGAGTGGTATGTACGCAAATCTTCCTTTTTCTTTGATTGACATTGGTGGGCGCTGGAAGGTTTTTTTTTTTTTTGCTATCCCAAATAAATTTCTTATATAAATATACAGTAATAAAAAAATCTCATTTAAACGAAGAATGCTCGAGGAAGCTGCAGATGCAGGGCTTGGCTGCTTGTATAAAAGGTAAAGTAGGTGTTAGGTTATATAAAAACATAGGAATTGGGTGGTATGAAGTTAGCTATTTAAATCCAACCTTAGTTGTTCTTAACCTTTTTTTTTTAACTTTCAAGTTCAATTAATTGCAATATTAGCACAAACACGAAAGCCGGTATGTTAACAAGTAAGCCAAATGCTAAAGGACTAATTAATCTGTCTTTATCTTTGAGAGAGTTAAGAGGTATGTTCTACATCACCTTTTAGATATTCGTACGACTTGATTAGATACCAACTTTGAATCACTAAAAACCTTCATTTTCTCCACACATTTAGCGCCTTAGCTTGAGATAATAGCTTGAAAGATCTTGCATGGGTTATGTAAATATATTTCAACGCCACAATATATAATTCCCAAAGTTGCACATATACCCAACCTTCAATAATCATCTTTTCAGTCAAAGAATCTGTCTGATGAAGTTGCAGCTGTTTGAAAAATCAACAGTGAAATTATTGTACAACAATACAACAACAAAGCTTTAATCCCACTACGTGAGGTCGGCTACATGAATCCTTTTTCTCCATTGCGTCCTATTTAGTGTCATATTTTCATTTAATTCTAGTAAATTAAGATCATTTTTAATACAATAAGCCCAAGTCTTCCTAGGTCTACCTCTGCCTTTCTTAATACTAGTCGAATTTAAAACATCTACTCTCCTAATCGGATCATCTTAAGGTCGACGTTTAATATGACCAAACCATCTAAGACGAGTTTCTCTAATTTGTTTGTCACAGGAGCTGCACCAACCCTATCACGAATATATTTATTCTACATTTTGTCTCTAAGTGTAAAGCCACTCATCCACCTAATCATTCTCATCTCGGCAACAATTAACTTATTATTATGCTTCTCTTTTAAAGGCCAACATTCAGCGCCATAGAGCATTGCAGGTCTCACCACCGTCTTATAAAATTTTCCTTTCAGTCTTAGCGGTACTTTTCTATCACACAAAAAGCCCGAAGCATTCCTCCACTTCAACCAACCAACTTGAATTCTACTATTAACACCCCCATCTATATCACCATCGCTTTGGACAACGGACCTAAGATATCTAAATCGTTCACACCTTTTAATACTTTGATCACCCAAAGCCACACTTCTATCACTAGAGCTATTACTACTAAAATTACATTCCATGTATTCAGTTTTAGTTCTACTTAAACGAA